CTGGCAGTGAAGTTGTGTCGAAGCAGGAGGGTGGCAGTGAAGAGCTGGCCAGGCCTCATTGGCACATCAGGTGCACGCAAAGTGACTACTTCATCCAGAGGTACCTCCTGGTACTGTGGGGGGTCTTCGGGGTGCAGCTCCACACCACCCACTGGGAGAGCCTGCTCCCGGGGTTCCTCCTCTGTGCCAGGGCCACAGCCCCCAGGGCCCTCACCTGCAGGCTCCAGCGTGTAGGCCAGTTCGGCCCTTGTGGTGGCACTTTGGGAGAACCAGTGAGAAGGGAATTCCAGTTCCACCACACAGGCACCCAGAGACGGCTGCAAACACAAGAGCAAAGGCTGTGGATGGCCTGGGAAGGGTGGGAAGGAGTCTTGCTCCCATTGGCAGAAAAACCTATGAAAAGCAGAGCCAAGGATGTCTCCTGGGTGCCACCATAAACTAGAGACCCACCAGGTCTAGGTGTCAGACTACTCTGTAGGTCACTCTTCAGCAAAATGGGCTAATCTTTACCACATCCCAGGACTTGCCTAGAGCTCAGAATGTCAAAAGCAAGAGACAGTTCTCTCCAGTACTGCACAATAGTGGAACTAGAACCCACAAAAGTTCCATCACTACACACACTACACACAAAGGTTAATGGCTCTGTTAGTGACTCTAACGTTTGTCTCATTTCTTCCTTCTCCAGTTCCCTATAGGTGGGAACTGGTGCCTCAGAGACATTACATGCCCAAAGCCATGTACCATGGACTGAAATCCCCAAGGGACCCTCTCCCAGGGCAATCGAGAACCAAATCAGAGCCAGGTACAATGCCCCTAGATTCTCAGACTGTGGTAGAGTCCTTTCCTTTCGACCCTGGCACACCTGCATGGGTGCAGCAGCAGAAACAACTCGCTCACCTGGAAGCGGCAGGCCTGGTGGGCAGTGCCTGCAGGGTGTGTGGCATGTAATCGGGCACAGGGCAAGCTGCCAGGTCCTGGTGGCCAATCCTGCCCTTTGAGGTGGAAGAGGACACGGGCATAGGGCTCTGCTGGAGTCACCGCTGCTTCCACAGAGACAGCCCGCACATCCCAAGGGACGGGCCGCCGGTGGGGCTCGGTGACCCTAGGAGGGACCACCTGGAAAAGGACAAGCATGCTCAACTGCAGGGTCATGTGGAGAGGCAGATAACACGATAGCCAGGTCTGAGAAGGTGGGATTTCAGGCTTCTAATCTCAGTGTAGCAAGAGATTAGAGGCCTCAGTCTTCCTGTGTAGAGAATGGGAAAAACTATCTATGGTCACATCAACCTAATCCGCCTAATCCCTTGTTGGTACTTAGGTGGGAGAATAAAAAGAGCTCCAGAACCCTATGAGTCTCATTTGCCTGGGAGTCCCCGGGCCCTATCCTTACCTGCTGAGTGGCAAAAGGTGGGTAGGAGGCCCGGAGAAGCGGCTGTGCCCTGGGCCAGGGCTGCATGAGCAGGAAGGTCTCAGAGCGGGAACCCAGGGAAGAGTTGGCAGGTGGGTAGTGGCCCACCTGCTGCACACGAAAATGCTCTGGGGCATCCAGGAGTTCCAGGGCCACGGGCAGGTAGATGGGGTCCAGGGTGTCATGGTTACTGTCAACTGAAGAGGATTAAGGAAGTGAGACGTTGGATGGCTACAGAACTCACAGAGGTTGAACAGGGCTTCATTCTCACTATGGGGCTGGGGATGAGAGGGCAAAGTGGACTACAAATGTACCATCTCCCAGATGTAGAGAAATCATCCCATTTCACAGATGAGGTGACCGAGGTACTGAGAGCCTCACAAAATAGGGCATTTGGAGAGCAGAACTCCTCCTGTACTGGGAACTACTCAGTAAAAGATGGCTCCCAGCTGAGCTCTGTAGAAATGGAGACTCTTTTTGCTATGTGTGTGTCCTTTGGTGGACATGGCTGGTTACCCCCTCCAACTCCAATGTTGACTCTTTTTTCTGTGTCTGTGTCCTTTGGTGAGCATGGCTGGTCATCCCCTCCAACTCCATGGCACACCCACACCAAATTTCCAAACTTGATCCCCTCTTGGGATCAAGCCCTAGTCCTAGCTGGGGATTGGGGTTCAGGAATGAGAACTGGGGAGGGTATCAAAGAGGTCAGTGAGGCTACCGGCACTCACAAAGGCTGGGAATACAAACCTGAGGAGATGGAATACTTGATCATAAAAAGCACAAAGGTTCACTATGGCCATATTGATTTGTACTATAATCCCCAAAGAGTAACAATTTTTAAAGCACTTAACCCCACACAGATTCAATTTTACATGTAGTAAACCTCTCAGTTCTCACACAATTCTGTGGATTAAGTTCTATTACTACAAATTCCACTTAATGGATTTTAAAACGATCTATAAGGGTTCTCCAACCTGCAGTGAACCTGAGAGGCCAGTAAGGAATTCACCACCTAGCTACCCAGCCTTTCCATCCAATGCAACACCAGCATGCCATGTGGGCTTCACAAGGGACCCCTACTCTCCTTCAGGGTCAAGAGTACATTCTGCCTCCTCGAGGAAGCCTTCTGTGGTCACGCAGCCCTTTGCTAGACACCTTGTTCTGGCTCTGCTTGCTGCTACTGCTTTTCTAAGATGGGAACAATCCTCGTTTCTCCAGAGTACCTGAAACCGCAAATGCCGCCAATATGCCTGGCTGGGCTGCCTCTCCTGAATTATGTCAACCCCAGGCTGGCTCCGTCTTACTCATTCTGGAATTCCCTTGACTCTCTCTGAAGAGGTCTCTCTCTCTGAGGGCAGAGATCTGACTTTATGTCCTAGTTCTACTCCGTGAAAGGCAGGCCAGTCACCAGCATCTTGAAGCCTGGGTTTCCTCACTGGTACAAGGGGTGGGAGTATTTCATAATCCGGTGGGCAGGAGAGGGCTTTGTAAAATTGGTTAGATTATACGTGAAGTGAGATTGTTAGTGAGTGGAATGACAAAGCTTTCTTCCCCTCACTGTGGAGGGGTTATTAGGACTCCCAGTGGTTCTGCAGGGTGTGGAGCAGGTACCTGAAAGAAGTTCCAGAAGCAGCCCTCTCAGCACCGCCACAGCGGCGGGGCTTTTCTCTAGGGCACCCCACAACTCTGTGCACCAGTATCCCTATGGGTAACAAGTGAGTGACTGTTGGCCCTTAGGGTGGCTCCCGTCCACCTTCTAATTCAATGCTTTCATAATTACAAGATGCTCTGTAGCCTGCCTCCCACGGACTTCCATGTTCTCCCATCACCAGGAGTCCAGCCCTCTTGATGGGGGCAGAAGAGTAGAGATTACTTCACCATCTCCCAATTCCCATAACATCTTCCAACCTTTCAGCCCCAGCTCATGTCAGGCATGCTATAGCTGCTGCCCCTTCCTTACCCAGTGATGGGTACACCCACAAGGGCTCAGAAAGGCAAGGCTGGGACTCTCCCAGAAGATTCCAAGATTGGAGATCTCCTTGGAACAGGGAGAGAAAGAAGCATATCTCTTGGGTCCCAGGCAGGCAAAGAGGCTGTTTTGCATTCCTGTGACTAACCGTTGGGCTGCTGGGGTCTAGAAAAGCAGGTGAGGGAGAGGTGTTGCATGGGGAAGCAGGGCAGTCGGGTTAGATGTCAGGGCTGGAGAGGGGAAGAGTTGGGACTGGGCTGGTGAAGAAGGGAGTGAGAAGACCTTAGGCTCAGGTAGGAGCATCCAGATGGTGCACAGAGAAGGCAAAAGGGCTGTTGGCTGGGAGCCGGTTTCCCAAGGTTAGACCTCTCCAGGGCATCGCTCTAGGTTTAGTTCTAGAGCCCAGAGGCTTAGGGACATCACTGGCGCATGGCCTCGGCCAGGAAGAGCCAGGTCGTCCCTCCCATCCCCTCCCCTCCCTTCCCACTGACCTCTCACGACTTCCAGGGCGAGAGCCACCAGGAGGCAAAGCCAGGCACCGTAGGGCCCCCGAGGGGCTGCAGCCGCGCGTTCAGTCATTGAGGCGCACTTCTTCCCACCAAAGGCGGGTAACCGGCGCGCGGCTCAGGTGGCTGCGATCTGGCCCCGCATCTCCCGCGCCCGCTCCGCGCCGGCCACTCTGGCCAGCCAGTTCTCTGCGCCGCCAGCCCGCGGCTGCAGTTCCCAGACAATGGAGCGGGAGCAGTAGGGTGGGAGGGAACGCGGGCACATGGGCTGTCCCCTTCGCCCCGCCGGGTCCTAGTGCCCTGCGGATCCCAAAACCCAGAGCGCCGGTGCCTAGGGTCAGAAGAAGGCAGCGAGCGTCCCTGGAGACTAAGCAGTTCGATGCCCTCTGCCAGGAGGCACAAGGTGAGTTCTGGGATTCCTCATGGAAGCTGATGATCAAAGAGAAACCCAAAGAAGCAAAAAACGTTTCCTCTGCCTCATCCCCTCCCCATAAGCATCTCACCTGTGAAGGCATCTAGAATTCAGGGACATAAGAGAACAGAGCTGCTGGGGCAGAAAAGGAGAGGCCAAACCAGGCCAGATTGACAACCTTAGGCCATCCGTGGAGGCAGCTTGTTTCATGCCCAAATCTATCCCAAAAAGAGTCCCAAAGGGTAAAGGGTGCAGGCTGGTCAACCCTTCTGAGGAAGCCCTGACTCTCGGTCCCGGTCCCACTTGCTTAGCCTTGCACCCAGGTAGTGTTGGAAGAAGTCCAAAAGATCTGGTATCTCCATAACAACCTAAAGAGGAAAAAGAAACAGAGACATGCCTGGGCCTTCCACAAGGCAGCAGAACCACCTGGAGCCACAGTGAGAGCCTTATTTCGGCAAATTCTTGAGTCTGGGAGGGTAAGCCAGTTTTTCCAGCTAGCAACATAAGCACCCTGCAGGAAGGGGCAACTTCACTGCTGCCAGAGCTGCAAGTTTTACAAGAGAGTGCATGCCTTCCTCCAGGGTCCTAGAGGGAAAGGTACCAGGTACATCCTGCCTCCTGAACCCTCCCTTCCTCCTAACAGATTCCTGCTAGAAGTTCAGAAGGTTGGGCTGCCCCCAAAGAAGAGAGTTTGGCAGCAGACACTTTGAGTAAATACATTTTATTCAGAAGAAGATAATAAAATAGCATGCACTTTATTTAAAACCACCAAGCGCTGATAAAAATATATCAATGCAGCCGTGATTCCACATCAAACCTTATTGGTAAGAATAGGCATTTATTCTTCACATCTTGTGCTGGATCTGGCACAGGACACCTCCCTCCACCAAGGCCCTAAAGTGAGCAAGTGCCCTGGTGGAGAGGGGTTAGCGGCAGCCCCCCTCCTGGCCCTGTAGAACAGATCAGGGCAAAGCCATGCCCTTCCCAGCTACTGGGATACAACACTGACCACGGTTGCTCCTGGATGGCAGAGAGTGGACAGGAGTAAAACTGCAAGACAGCAGGTCCTCCTGCCTTTTTCAAGGTCCCTGAAATCCCCAAGGGAGATCTGATAGTCCGGGCAGGGCCCCAGCCTTTGCTTTGTTTGCTGGAGTGGGGATTCTGTAAGGGACAGGTCACTCTGAACACAAAGTAGCTACGGCACACCTTCCTACATTCAGCGTGGCAAGGGACAATTGGAGGGTACTGTTGACTCCTGTTAAGGCACTTGTAACAGAACATGATGCGCAGGCCTCCAGGGACCGTTTCCTCCTCCCTTATCCTCAGTCTCGAATCTCTGCCCCTTCCCAATGCTGCACAATGAGGAAGACAGAGAGGGCCTCAAGGGACTTGGGATGGTAGCGTAGCTGGGAGTAGGAAGAAAAGAGCTGGGGGTGTGGCCAAACAGGAGCTTCAGCCTGGGAAGGCCTTTTGTAAGGAAGCCAGGCGGCAGCAGGTTACTCTTCACGGAGATCAGTGGCAGTGGTGCTGGCTGAGAGCAGAAGCCTGGGCTGAGGGCAGAGGCCCCTCTGACCTGCCCTGGGGGAGGCAGGCTGGGAGCAGAGAGGGCAGGGAGCCATCCCTTGACTGAGCACTGGCAGAAGACAGGTTGTCTTCTCTCAGCTAGGGGCTAGCGCAGGGGTAAAGGTGTGGAGGGTTCCGACACAAGGCGAGGAAAGGGCAGGGGCTGCAAGGAGGGCCATGAGACCCAGAAGCAGCTCAGCTCTTTGGTTTGGTGAGGGTGTCACTTTAGGACACCCTTGTCATTCTTCCTCCATGCTCCTGGGTATCTTGGCTGCTCTCCTCTGCCGCCCTCGAAGCTCCTCTATCTGGCGCTCCAGCCCTCGTACCTTGGCTTCCAGGTGGCTCCCCGAGCTCCTGGAGCCGGTAAGCCGACTCACCAAGGCAAAGAGAGTTAGCAAGGCCAAGAGCATCAAGGCCCGGGTAGAGGGGTCAGGCACTGACCTCACCAGGCCCACAAAGCCAGCCACAAAGAGGACAAGCTTCAGACCTCCCAGGATCCGCCCTAGCAAGGCCAAGACCAAGCCTAGGAGCAGAGACAGAAACCAGTAGATGACCAGCGCTGCTGCTCCCCAGAGTAGAAGGGTCTGGACTTGGCTAGGGCTGAGCTTCAGGCCCTGGGTGAGCTGTTCACCTGAAAGAGAAAAGGACAGAGTCAGCCATCTAGCAATGTGGTAAGGGCAAAGACGGGCAAGAAAGAGTGAAGCAGGAGGGACCAACAGCCTTGCAAAGGCACCGCTCATACTTACAGGCTTGAGAAGCATGTTTGAATCCCATCCTCCTGGCTTGGGACTACTGGAAGACTACTACTCTCGTGGCAATGGAGTTTTATTTATTATGTGAGAACAGTGTATGTGCCTCCATGGGCTGCGGTTAACCAAAGAGGAGACAGTCCACCTTTGCACAATGTCCAACATAAGTAACCTCTGGTACAGTGGTAAGAATCTCTAGTCTCCCCTTCTGCTGTACCTCTGGGGACATCTACAAACAGCTGGGGGAATGTCTAGCCCCACACAGATAAACCCCCACCAACAGCAAGTCAGACACAACCCTGGCTATATCTCATTCCCTGCTACTCACCATCCAGTCCCAGGGCACTCAGCAACTGGGCAGCAATCCCAGACAGGGCAAAGCAGGCCACAGAGATGGCTGATGAGATGGCCCACATCACCTGCAACAGAGTCTGTGAAAAAGACAAAGTCATGAATGAGGCTCTTCTCTTCCCGCCTGGCCCTCAAAGCCTGGAATATCTTCAGGGAAATCTCTGACCTGTTTCCTCCCCAGTAGAGACAGGTCTTGGGGAAAAATAAATCCATGGACTCTGAGTCCAGTGGAGGGGTCCTTCTGACATATTTCCTCACTGACCCAGAATCCAGGACATCTAAGACAGACATCAGTTGGTCAGGTGAGCTGCTTTGAAGGTAGCGGGACGTGCATGTGTGTGGAACGGGCGAGTCACTATATCCCTATGGTAGCCACCCTATAAAACTAGAGGCCACCAAACCTCCTAGGCAATCATAAGGTTATGTGAAAGACTGTTCATGCAGAACTGGGACACTGGGTCATGTGAGGAAAAAGAAGTCAATCAACTATACCACATTATGGATTTGTGTGTGGCTGCCTATGTACCCACACAGGACCACATGGAGACCAGAAGCTGACATCAGGATGCCTTCCTCAATTCTCCACTTGCTTTTTTAAAAAAATATTTCATTTTTATTTTTGTGTCTATGTGTGTTTGTGTATGAATAAGTGTTGGGGGTGGGGTGCAAGCAAAGAAGCCAGAAGAGGATGCTGGATCCCCAGGAGCTGTAGTTACAATTGGTTGTGAACCACCTGTGGGTGCTGGGAACCAAACTCTGGTCCTCTGCAAGAGCAGCAAGCTCCCATAACTGCTGAGTTACCTCTCCATCCTCTCTATATTTTGAGACAGGGTCACTTACTGAACCTGGAGTTCTAGTTTCTGCTAGTCTGGCCAGCCAGCAAGCTCCTGGTATCTGCCTAACTCTGCTCAACCTGCTTTCCACTGCTGGAGGCTACAGACATACACACCATGCCCAGTTTTTACAAACCTTCTGAAGATCTGAACTCATGTCTGCATGCTTGCATAGTAAACACTTGACCTATTGAGCCATTTTTTTCCAGCCCTGTATTCTGGATTTTATAAACCATTGGCTTGTTGGCACTTTGGAATGAACTCTCAGAAGGATGAGACACCACACTAGAAATGGCACTGGGTGGAAGAGCCAACCATGCCATAGACCCTTCATGAGCCCCACCTCACTTTTATAGGTGAAGACTTAGGACTCAAACCTCTGTGCTGCCAGCTCAAGATGATAGGTGTGACGCAGATCAAGTCAGATGTTGTGGGTACCCACCAACGTGAGTTTGTAAGGGTAGCTCACTTTATAGCCTTTCTGGCCAAATGGATCAAGCCTGGAGAAAGATGGGGTGGTACAAAAAGCCTGGAAGGCAAGAACCAGGCAATCAGCCTGCAAGAAGCAAGAGGGCCAGGATGTGTTTATATGTAAGGTGGGGCTCTCGGCAGCAGGGACTAGGTCAGAAAGGATATGGTGACGAGGCGAGGTGGCATTAACAATGTCTCTCCTTTGCTTTCTGCACACAGCCACAGCAGGTACAACCTTCCTTACCTCTGAAATCACATGCATGGTCTCTGGTCCCAGCCAGGTATCCAACGTCTCCTTCAGAGATCGGCCAATCTGGGTCAAAATATCAGCTGAGGCCTCCCTCTTCTGTTGGCCAGGTGAGAAAAACTCCCGATGAGACTGGGCTGCTGCTGAGTGGACGAGGAGAAGGGCCGCTACGACCACTAGGACAGCTTTGAACAGATGTCTGCCCCATAGCGGAGTGCTGAGTACGCCTTTCATGTTTGTGTCTGTCGAGAGAGGGCCATAGGGTAGGCAGTGAGCCAGAACCAATGGACATTTTTACTCTCCCAGCTGATCTATTATTCCCCTTCTTCACCCCTGGCCTACAGCAAACATCCCAGCCAAACCTAAAACAAGCTGTTTGCCAAAAATGATGAACCACAACTTGGAATCTAAGCTGGCACAACTATCTGATTCACAGCTTCCTCTTTTGTATTTTCTACCAAATCAATATACCAGCAAGTACTACCCCATGCCTTAAAGTAGCCAAGATCTCACTGCGGTCTATTCTTTTGAAGGCCTGTCTCTAATCTTAGGCACCATGGACATGAATGACTTCTAAATCTAGAAAGGCTTCATCCTCAGAAGCTCATAATATACTTAAGCAGAAGATGATAGGAAAAAGTAACTTAAAAATAGCACATAAGCCGGGCGGTGGTGGCACACACCTGTAATCCCAGCACTTGGGAGGCAGAGGCAGGCAGATTTCTGAGTTTGAGGCCAGCCTGGTGTACAGAGTGAATTCCAGGACAGCCAGGGCTACACAGAGAAACCCTGTCTCGAAAAACAAAAACAAAAACAAAACAAAAAAAAAGCACCTAAGTAGGACTACCACTCTGTATGCAATATAAAATAAAGCACTCAGGGGGTTAACAGAGGCACAAGAATGACTGCATTTGCAACAGAATCTATGTGGGGCCATTACGCAAGGTGGTTTTTCTCCCTGTCCCCTGTGGGCACAGATGTGAAGAAAGATACTGCAGGTAAGCACTTGTGCAAGGTCACTGGGCTTAGAAGGACTTCAATCCAAGTCTCTGATTTCAAATCCTACCCTTGGTGGGGGATAAAGTATTCACCTGACAGCGGTAGCACACTGGTTCTGATGGCACTGTCTCTGTGTGACCTGGTGGACACAAGCTTTTCAATGATTCTACTATACAGAGTTGAGAACCATTCTAAGGTCAAACTCCGTTTCTCCCCAACTGTTACTCAACAGTCAACATGAGATTTCAGTGACTATCTGTGCAAGGTGTTCAGTTCTATTCTTACCCTCAACAAGCAAGCAAGCAAGCAAGCAAGCAAGCAATCCCTTCTGCACTGAACATCTTCTAATTCAACTTGGTTCTGACACTACCAACCTGGAGACAGAGTCATATCCTTCTACCTATTTAGGAGTAGGAAGCTAAGGTCATTCTATGTCAATGGTTATGATACAGTATATACATACAGACATACATATAAGCACACCTAAACATACCTAAGGATATACATGCATAAACACACAGACATACACACACATCAGCAGTTTGTTTTTTGTCTACCCTTCCAGGCTCACACATTTCATATAATACATGAAAAGAATAAAAAAGATACCTCCGTTGAAGTAATTAGCCTTTTAGCCTGGCTTCCTGCAACATCTTCAGAGGATGAAGGGTGAAAGACAGCCCTTTCCAGCATGCCTTTCATGATAATAAGACCATTTTTAGAGCACTCCCTAGATAACCACAGGATTAGAGAGGTAATTACCAAGGGAACCAGCCATGTCTTTAGAGGGTTGAGCCTCTCGTCCCTAACCTCTGAAGAGGAAGGGTGGCTAATGATTGAGTTAATTCCTATGACCAGGGATTTGGTTGATCACACCTATATAATGTGACCCTTCTTTAGGGGGTTATCCTTTCCAGGGTTATTTCCTATTCTTTTTTACCCACATTATTAACTTCTGAAGAGAGGCTGTACTATAGTAATTAAAATGTTAACTGTTGCTGGGAACAGGTAGCTAAGTGACAGATGGCTTGTCTACCAAGTGCATGGCCTTGGGTTCAATCCTTAAAAGGACAGACAGACAGACAGATGTCAACTGCTAAATAATCGGGTTTTTTTTCTCCTTTTTTAATTTTTTGAGTCAGGTTTTCTCTGTGTAGCTCTGGGTGTCCTGAAACTCATTCTACAGACCAGGCTAGCCTCAAACTCAGAGATTCACCTGTCTCTGCCTCCGAGTGCTGGGATTAAAGGTATACGCCCCCACCACTGGCTTAAATAATCTTTGTATGTATAGAATCCATAGCTTCTGGTGACTTTTGGATTATATCAGGATATGTGATATTCTTCTTTGTTCCTTAATTCTGTGCTTCAACTAATACAAAACATATAAATGGCTCCACAGTGTAACTTACAGACAAGTAATGTTTACCTAAGAATGACAGGAACTAGCCCCAGGAGGCTGAAGTCAAGGTCTCTCATGACATTCTGGCCAGAAGAAAAAAAATGGGGCTGCATGTCCCAGGTGAGAAGACCCCACCATGCACATAGCACCCCCACCCCCAACCTCCCTTTCTACAAACCCCTTTATATAACTGCACTCCGTAAGATGGAGACTTGAGGCCAACTGCCACATTTTCTCAGAGGCAGGCCATGAATGAATATGATTTCTTTCCCACCAATTCTTCTCTCCCAAGTATTTGCTTTTGAGCAATGAGAAGCGAGACATGTGTTTATAACTTTAGATGCCAGTCACCAAGTCCTAGCTTATTTTATCAATGCTCTGTCTGATTATAAGTCAAGGTTTCTACAGTCCCTCTGTCAGGTTCAATTAACTGGCTAAAGAGAGTCAAGAGTTCAGAGAAACACTTATCACTGGATAAGCACACATATTTATTATAAAGGATACTGATGTACACCAGTTATAAAGATGGTAGCACAAGGTCTGGTAGAAGGAGTGCAGAGATTCCATGCCCTATCTAGGTGCACCACCATCAAAAGGTCTCCATATGCTTAGTGATCAGGAGGCTCTCTAAACCTAGTCTTTTCTGTAGTTTCCTAGAAGTTTCATTATATAAGTGTGATCAACAAAATCTCTGGCCATTGGAATCAACTCAATCAGTAGTCGCCTTTCCTCCTGAGAAGTACCAACTCTTTTAAGACATGGCTGGTCCCCCTGGCAACCACTCTCTCCAATCCTTTGGTTATCTACGGAGCTTTCTAAAAATGGAGTTATTGATATGGAAGGTATATTTGAAAGGGCTGTTTTCACCCTCTATCCTCTGGAGACAATGCAGGAAGCCAGGCAAAAGCGTAATGATTTCGACAAAAGGTAACTTCCCATGCATTAACTTATAAGAGATATATGAGATCTGAGCAAGGAAGAGTAGATGAAAACTAACTGCTGGGGTGTGTGTGTGTGTGTGTGTGTGTGTATGCAAGCAAACTGCTGGTGTGTAAATGCAGAATGACCTCAACTTCATACTGCCAAAATGAGCAAAGGGTTCAGGAACAGCCAGCCCTTAAAGAAAGATTATCAGGAACAAAGAGCAAGACACTGGACTGGTCTTGCATGCACTACTTTTCTCAATCTGACAGATACTTATCGGGTACGCATTGTCAGTGCGATGATGAAATCGAGGAAGGACAGGCAGTATGTGGGAAATCCAAGCTGTCAATTCAGGTGTTATCTACTGAGCACTCCTTCTTAGTCCAGAACCTCTTTGCTGAACTATGTTCAATTTAGAAGTTACTTATAAAGTCACATAACAGCTTATCCATAAGTGAGGACACACTTGGCATCCTCCAACCATCTCTGGGAATTACAGTGAAAACTTGCCCAAGCACTCTGCGCTCTGATCTCATCCATAACAGGATGCCACACATGAGTTAAGATTCAACAAGCACCAAAACTTATTGAAGCAGGTAAGGAGTGGGTAAGAAGAATGTTGCAGGCTCTTTTTTGTTTGTTTGTTTGTTTTTGTTTTGCTACTCTGCTGGAGAAATGTCAAAAGGCTCTAGTAAATGCCATTCTACCTTGGGCCAAAAAGCCACCTGCAGCTCCAGAGAATTTCTGTGATTCAGAGCTGCTGAGGAGAGGCTGAGACAGGCTCTAAGGTGATGGAGAGGCCAGGTTTTGAAGAGTTTGTGGTTACCAGGGTACTGTGGGAATTGGCTGCAAATCTAGAGTCATCTGGACTGAAGAGAGGGAAAAGATGTTGCACCATTTGGGCAGAGAAGGCGCCAAAATAAAAAAAGACTTCTAAAAATACTACATTTGGGGTAGCTTCTAGACCAGAAACAGCTGTCAGACACCATGCCCAAGGCCTGTAAGGTCAAGTAGAGTTACAAGACACACAGTTCAAGTGGAAGAGCCTCAAGCTGAGAGAACCTTCTACTCTTTGGCACAAATCAAGAGCCAGATGGCTCCTGCCTGTCACTGGTGGGAGATGCGGAAAACATGGGTTGGTTCCTAAGCTATCTGGGTCACAATCACGATTGGGGCCCTAAAGAGCAGGGTTGCTAACTTGGGTTGGATCCTATATCCAAGGACCTCCAACAGGAGGAATCAGGTGTCGCCTCTTCCCTACTAGAAGGTCAGGGTGACATGAGCTGCAACCCCCATAGCAGCCTGTTCTCTGTGCTAGCTTCAACTTAAAGCAGCCATCTGCCCCAGTCTAGGGGACTCTGAACTAACGCCTCCACAGCGAGGTCAGCACTGCTCTTCCAGGTGAGTTGAAGTATGCCAGACATGGAATCTCACGGGATTCTGGAGAACACAGCGTGTGAAGAAAAGTGACAAGCAACTTTCTTTACCAGTTCCTCTTCTTCCTTTCCTGTCTTGTCCTGTCCTTTCCTTTCTTTTTTTTTTTTTTTTTTTTTGAGTAAAGCTCAGGCAATATGAAGCTGACCCACGGCATTATGCTTCCTCATGTCTCACTAAGAACTTTGCAGTTTTGCTGTTGTTTAAGCCAGGGCCTGATATAGCCCAGGCTAGCCCGAACTCCTTATACAGCTGAGGATGACTTTGAACTCCTGATCCTCCTGCTTCCACCTTCCAAATATTGAGTTTACAAGTGTGTGTCGCCTGTGTGTTGCACTAGGGATTGGACCCAGGGTTTTGTGTATAAAAGCAAACACTCTACCAACTGAGGTACATACCAGCCCTCAACAAAACATTAATACAGAAAGATGCTATGGTCATTAAAAGACAAACAGTGTTGGCCTCTGAAAGATGGAAACATGTCTGAAACTTTTTTGTTTCCTCAAACAGGATGTACTCAGTATGTGGAAATATGTATAAGTTATCAAATTTTAATAGTGGTTCGTAATTTACAAAGTGCTTATTGCCTACTTCATTTAATTCTTATGACAATCTCTCTCTGTGTATGTGTGCATGTGTGTGCGTGTGTGTGTAGCTGGAAATCAAACTCAGAGCTATCAGGTAGGCAAGCACTTTACCACTGAGTTACAAAAGAAAAGAACAGTGTGTGTATACAAGTGTATATGTCTGCATGTGTGAAAGCCAAAGACCGACTTGAACAAGTTGGTTCTCTCCTTCTACCATGTGGGTCCCAGGGATTGGACTCAGTTCATCAGGCTTAGTGGCAGATGCCTGTTCTCCAGGGAGCATCTTACCAGCCCTGTAGTTATCATGATGCCCCATTTTGCTTAGAATTGAAGTGGGGACTATATCCCCAAGTCCAGCAGCTCAGGCTTGCCCCTTTGCTTGTCTCATACCTTCCAGCAGCTCAGGCTTGCCCCTTTGCTTGTCTCACACCTCCACGCTGCCTTGGTGACACATGCCCTGCCCATGGGAACATACAGTTCCACTAACTATCATCTAGCTCAAAGCTGAGGATATCCAAATCTCCCAAGAAAAGCCTTCACACTAGATGACCCACCTGCTGAGAGTTTCCTTCCAGGTGTGTAAGAAGGTAAGAAGGGACAGCCAAAGACAGCACTGAGAGGCCACTCCTGTTCAGACAACTGCAACTCAGCTGAGGAGAGAAACAGTCTCAGCCGAGGAACTGCTTTACTTACTATGGTGGTGAGTCCTCACTATATGTTCAGCTGTGGTGTGCTCTGCCAAGGTGGGGTGGGGCTGGCCACACTACCCCCAGTCAGTGCTCCTTCCTCTTCTTTTTTCCTTTCACACTATAAATCACTCCAGGGGCAGGAACTAACTTGGTGCCCTCTGCTGGCCCCAACTGTTCCTTCACTACTCCCAGCTGTCCTGAGGCTCTGCAATCTTCAGCGCTGGATGGCCCATCTGGCCTGCCTGCATAGCCTGTTAAACAAGGATGTCTGCCCCACCCAGGCAACCCACTCAGACCCTCCCAGGGAGGAGCTCAGCCTTTTTGTTTTAAAAGCTCCTCAGGATTCCTGAGGCATAATCAGACAGCTGTTGCAAAGGTCAGCAACCCAGAGAAAAGTCTACTTTAAGCAAAGCCTCCTAAGAGCTCTCTGTACAAAGGACACAGGCTCGATTCTACCACAGATCAGCTGCCATTACCTTTACACCTGTTACTGACCCTATCTGAGTTTCAATCTCCTAAAATGTAAATTCTGTTGAAACTGGGTTAAGAGTTGCTTCAGAAGTTAAATAATTTGTGCAAGCACTGTGTTCAACCTCCCAGCAACTCTCAGACTAACTTGACATTAACTTTTCTTGGAATCCCCAGCACCTAGCATAGAATGACTAAGTGCTTGCTAAATGAGTATCAGAAGCCCTGCCAAGAAGCCACAAGTGTAGGACATAAACACATGGATAGGTGGGGAAGAGGTTATTTGAATAGTCAATCCAAATCTATGGCAGCCACATGAGAAGCACAGTTGAGATAGAAGGTCCTAAACGTGGCGAAGTCACCAGTAAGGAGAATGAAGTCAGCGTTCTGGCAGGTCGGAGGCAGCCCTAGCTAAACCTCTGACAGCTGCTGCTACCCAGCAACTGTTTGTGAGGCAGGGTGTTTGCAAAGGGGGGAGGGTGGGGGTGTGCAGCCTTGCCGCTCCCTTCCCAAGGCCCAGACTCCAGGCGACAGGGTCAGTGGCATGTGCTATTTCGAACAGCACATCCCCTGCCAAGCACTCCATAGTGGCGCCGCGAGGCCCATGAGGTCAGGGTACCCAGAGAGGGGCTCCAACTGAGGTGGCAGGAGGTTGGATTAAGGGGCTGGGGAAGGTGTGCAGTTCAGCACTGGCCTCATCCCCCAAATCTGGCAGCTGTTCCCTCCACTGGACCTCAGCGCTCGAACCCACTTATCCCAGGAAACACCCTGCTCCTGGGTTACCTAGTAACAACGCCCCTGGTTGCATAGCAACGAGGATCTGGGTCCCAGGCTTGCTAAGCCCCACGCTCCACGCTCGACCCCTCCCCACTTGGGCTCGCAAAGCCTCGCGGCTCCGCCCTGTTGCCTCCTGGAAATTTGTCCCTTAAGCTGCATCCATAGCCCTGATCTCGGCCCTCACTCACCCTGTTCCGGCCACCGCTATCCTTCACGTGGGACTTCGCTAGAAAACGCGCCACCAAACCGGCGCCTCAACTCCCGGGGTGTTGGTTTATAGTCTGCGCATGCGCGGGGCGGCAGACCGGGAAGACTGGCAGGCCTCTCTGCTGCTGGAGCAGGCACCGTGGACGCATGCGCTCTGCTTGCTCCATTGTGGTTTGTATGTATTTGTGTGTTTTGCCCTCCCAAGGATTTCCAAGAGAAGAATGGCGTCGGAAATTGGAGCTGGAACGGAAGCGAAGGCTTTGGCAGGAATAGGGAAAGAAAGATCTCTGTCGAGGCTGTGTCTTGGATAGAGTTGGTGCTTGATGCGGGATTCAGTGCGGATCCGAGTCCGCAACACAATTAGAGTGGCACAGTTCCGTCGCGGGAAGTGTAGTTCCTAAGGCGGGGCGCTGGCGAGCACGTGGAGGGTTGAGAAACCTTTCATGCTAAAAAACAAGGCACATAAGGGGGGAAAGGCACAAGGTGTTAGAGAGCACATTAACGGTGTACGGTCTTGGGGAAACTCATCCACTCTGGGAGAGAGCAAAACCTCATCCTAAGTGTGCGGGTGACCACTGAACCTTTGCTTACATTTCTTAGGGAAAGGGAAGCAACTCAGGTGCCCTGAGGGTTTTATGGTTTGGTTTGGTTTGGTTTGGTTTGGTTTGGTTTGGTTTGGTTTG